TACCTAGTTTTCAAGCTCTTTTCTATGTCTGTGTAGTTTTCTCATTTTTTTCGCAAACTAAAAGGGAAGTGTCAAATTTAGTTTTTTGGGGCGGAAATTGATATCATGAATTTTTAAACCTGGTGTCTGTGTTGTTTGCGTAAGCCTTTGGCTTCAACAAAAAAAACTTAGAGCTCACTTTTGATAATTCACGATCATCCAATAATTGCTTAATTTATGGTCTAGTTTTTTGCTGATCCATCCGTACTCTTTGGAGAAAGTGGTTTTTTTTACAACTTATCCATGGCATAATGATTCATCTTTAGCCTTAGCGCCAACGCACCTTACGATTTTTATTCAGGGATTGTCGATCCTTTTATTTTTATTAATTGCAGTAAAGGGCTGTTTCTTTCATATGTTAAATAAAATAGTACTTGGTGGCTTGTAGATATGAAATTTCTGTTCTCGTGTTCAACTCGACATCTCACTCATGAGCTATCCCGTTAAGCACTTGAAGAGAAATTCCACATAGATCTACACGCACCCATGCATTATTCTCTATTTAATGTCAATGTAATGAAACTATTCTCTCTTTATAACACAGCTCCTGAGATTATTGATGTGAGAATTCACCAGGCAGTTTTGTTACAAGGTTCACTATGGCATCCACAATATGGGACGCTTGTTGGGTGGTTTTCCTGTCCAACTCGCGATTGCAATAATGAGTGGGACAAACATTGGATAGCTGACATACGTTTCATGGAGAATGTAATAATTGAAAATCCACACTGCGAAGCGTTCCTCAATGGGACTTTACTTATTAAGAAAGTTCTCCCCATGTATGATGGAAGATACTTCATCATGCGAGTGAGGAAGGATACAGGACCGAGCCAAACATTTACCATCTTAAAGTAGTACAAGGTAATGTTTACATCTTAATTGTTCTGTTTTATATGCTGTTTCCATGCGTCATTCTGGCTATTCTGTATTAGTGTAAAGGAAAATGGAGTCCTGACTTCTTTACCAATATTTCTCATTTTTCCTCTTAATTCCATAGCGCCCAGTTCTAACACTGGTCAATCAACAAAATATGTATGTTTTTGAGGGGATGGATGTTTTTTTTGAAGCTCAGGTGAAGGCCTACCCCTATCCATGGGTTTCTCTGAGTCATGTCTTGGAGTCCAATGAAAGTGTCATACAGAGGACATCCAATGTCAGTTCTCTTATACTAATGAAGATTCCAAGTATTACTGAAGCCAACAGTGGTGTCTTTGTCCTATGCGCAGAGAATACTGTTAGAAATGATACTGTCACTGTGAGGCTTTATGTGGAAGGTAAGTTTATTCTATTCACTTGTACTCACTGATGTTGGATTCCTGGTTATAAATTTTCGCATAAGCAAAGAAATGCCAATTAAAGTCGTGAAAATGGGAGCTCTGGTCAATAGATGCCATCAGAAGACCTTGATTTCCTAAAAAATAACATACTCACATACTTGTGGCTCATACACAAGTTTTTACGGTGCTTTATTTATTTACATTGGAGCCCTCTTCTTTTCAGTTAAGAAAATTATTTACCTATTGTTTAAGGATTATTACACATTGAAAACCATAGCTGAGGTGTCTAATGTGTTTTTTTCTGCATTTAGGCATGCCAGGCCGTTCCTCTTCACCACCGCCAGGTAAACACTGCAATCCGTACTTTCTCTCCCTGCTCTTTCCTCCTCTTCTTTCTTTCTTTCCTCTTCTCTGTGAATCGTTATTATGGTAACCTCTTTCTCTCATCTATGCTCGTATTTAATTGAGATATATATATTTTTTAAAATGTTAATCATATATTTTATCGCCCATCAAGGTGACATCCCAACCTCTGAGGCTCCTAAACCTTCAGACTCTACTTTCTCAAGTATTTATACCGTTTTTTTTTGTATACATAGGGGGAAGACGCTTGAATGCAACAGATGTCTGAACTTAAAAACGCTTTCCCGATTGAAGCTTTAAAATGATTGTAGAATATGAGGTTTAAGCTTATGCATGGTGCCCCCCCCTCTCCCCAGGAGGCCTGTTATCAAGCTGAATGATTATAATAAACTGACAGAGAATGATGACCTATTTATTCATAGATGAATGCAGCAAAGATGTGAATTTTACGACAGCATTCAGGTATCCGACTGTCCGTACGTTGGTAATTATTCTGGCGTTGATAATTATTCTGGCGGTGATATGCGTCGTCATGTATGGTGTTAAGATCAGTTTCGTGCAAAACCTGTAATTGCCACCTAAATCAAGGGAAGCAATATAACTTGGAAGTAAATGATAAAGAATGCAACACTACAGTTAACAGTAGTAACGAGAGCATTGCCAAGGAACAAATGGATAGCGCTGAAAATGTGTACCAGTCATTTGATGCAGTAGGAGCATTCGACCGTAATCGTGGGGCAATTGCTCTCGGTGGAAAATATAGATAATGCGTATGCACGTACTCTTTTAAGGCAGTGAAACCTAGAATGCATATGGACTTTAACCTTAGAGTTGTTATTAGTTATATTTCCTGCTCTAAAACGGTACTTGGCATGGATTGCGTTTCCATTAATTTATTTTATTATTTATATTTTATTTATTATTCATTTTTTTTCCTTGTAAATTATTGAATCAGTGATAGATTTCTTTTCAAGTGAGAAAAAAGAGTTCATGATGTCAGGACGTTACAAGCTGTAAAACTGAAAGATTTCTTTTGCAAAAATTATTTAATTTTTTTTTCATTTTCTGTGGACGTCCTTTCTATGTCTTATACTTTTTTTTATACATTCTTTGAATTTAAAGCGTATTTTACATCCTAAAGCAACATTTTCCGCTGTATGTTTGAATACCTATGAGAGGTTTTCGCCACAACAGCTACTTAAAAGCACGTCAATTTTTTTAAAAAATAACCGAAGGTAATTAAGGCTATTTGAGCGCCTTTAGCTAATCATTAATGTGAATTTCATGAAACGGTCTCAGTGGGGAAGTGGCTTTGACGACTAACGGTTAAAATTCGGAACGTCTTGTGGACATCGGTTACTTTACTTCAATTGTGATTTCAAGAAAAAGTGTTATGGTTAACTCGATTTAAGGGTTTAAATTTTTCCACATTTACGCCTAATGGCGTTAATTTCATTGAGACCACCTGTTAGAGATTAAAATAAGAATGTACCTATGGTGTTTAAAAATTCTGTTGTTGTTTTTTTTTGTGTGTGTGTGTAAGAAGTTGGAAATAAAATTTGCTTATCTTGCATTTGTTTTGTTTCTTAAACTTTTTGTTTGTATCCTTGGGAGTTTGGATTTCGAGTTTTACTGCCAATGACAAGTTATTGTGAGGACTAGCCAGTCCGAGGACTCCAAGAAAATTCAAATCTCCGTAGATGATGATGATAACAACGATAATAATAACTATTGTGATAATTATTATGATAGGAACGATAATTAGAATTATTATACGTTAAATCACTATCTCTTTTCTGATTAGGCGAAAGCGTATAGTGAATTTTTACAAAAATTATTATGCAAGTATCAACGGTAGTATATTTCTCAAAACAGGATCACATATAGCGTATTGGCCAATGACACGATGGAAGGGTCCCTGAGAGGAAAAAAAAACTTCCCATGATTGACTGTGATCTTTAATTTTTTTATTTGATCATTTGTCAGACCTCAGTACTAACAACAGATTCATACAGAACATGTTTAGTTAAACAGCGTGAATGAAATCCTAAACAAAGAACTTAAAACATGCTTTTTCCGTAGGATCCAAGTAGTCCCTGGCTTGTATTTTCAATGTGCTAACTTTGAAGTCGACAAACATGGATTTAAGCAGCTCATGAAGAAAGTAAAATTTAAACTGGGGTACAAGACATATCATAATAAAGTTAGGATATAACGCACGCTTTCATTAATTAAAAGAGTACAACTACACGGAGCTCAGCTGAAGCTGTCACGCCACCAGTCAATTTGTACCGTGTTCGACCATTTCCTGAACTTCTTTCTAGCTTTTTCTAAATTGGAAGTGGAATTTTGGAACAAGCGAGTCGGCAAGTACCAACAAAACTACCAAACAAAGGTTTGTAACATGTCAAGATCCATATCATGTTGACGTTATTACGTAAATCGTGGAACTATTATTTTCAACCCAAAATTTTCAGGTTTCGCCATGTTTTCAGCATTCATTTCCGTGAGGAAGACTGTCCCTTTTTTACAATCGATTTTGTGCCTTGCAGATGAGCCGGAAGGTCGACTGGCCAAGAAGAGGATGCTTACTTGTGAAGTGACCACCAGGGCGTTTTTGCCATTCCTGGTACTCGCAGGGTAGTATATAGTTTGTGTATGACGCACTAATATGCACTCGAACCGAACTGAAAAAATGCTTAATGTACAGGTTGAGATATTCCAGCTCAACCTCAAATTTTTGACGGAATGGTTCAACCTACATTAGTTGCATGCATGCGTTTTTATCGTTTCTACCGTGATAAAGGGATTGCTGCGTTTCCGAATGAAAACAATGTTTTAAAATTTCGCCAGCCTCACGTTATCGGGCCAAAGCCTTGTGCAAACATAATCCCAGTTAACCAATGAAACGAATAGATGAAATTCATTAAGCATGACGATTTTCTGTTAAATAATTTTTGCTCCAACAGGAAACATACAGAGACCTTGTCAGCTTCTTATATGAAACACGTGTTTTCATCACCACTATAAAATGAATAAATAAATGGATAAATAGGAAGATTCATGGACTGTTTAAAACATGTGAGATTCGTTCCTGAGAAAAACACTTTCCTACCTCTTATCCCGTAAAATGGTCACTTAAGCAAAATTAAAAGAGGATGTTGTGTGACTTTTTGTTGTTGACGTCATTGCTAACCTTAGTTCATCATTTTTTTGACCTGACCAAGTAATTAAATTCACTTTTTGAGTCAACTCGTAAGCGACTGTCAACTGTTCGCCGAACCAACATTGATTCATTTTGCAGCGGAATTTCTACCTGATATGCACATTTCTTTGGGAATAATTCTTCTAAATTTCTTCTTTTCATCAAGCTTAATCCAGAGACCCAAAGGTACGTCTATTAGAGCACTTAAGTTTGTTTAATGAAACCCCAGAATCTACACGCTGTCCGGCAGATGTTTGAGTTACTTGTAACTATGGCGGCATAAATACTATTTCGCAGCCGGAGAAGTCGCAACAAGAACATGGTTTCTCCGCTGTTGTGGAATCCTTCTCGCCTTCGGAATGAATCGAAATTTAAAACTCGTTACTTTTGATTCGCGGGTGATTTTGTTTAATTCATGACTGCTTGAATTTTCATTTCCAAAGTCTTGTTGCATTTCATTTGCAAACATTTGAGCTGGCGATCGGAGTTGACTATAGAAAGCCGCTTTAATGTTATGTCAGTCTTTGGTTGTAAACAAGTCAAAGCAATAAGTTCTTTAGCGGCCTTTTCGATACTATAATCAGTGCAGAGAGAATTGTCAGACATATACCCATCACTTATCCAAGCCAAGCCTTGGTTTGCATGATAAACTACTACAAAACATTTGGTAAATTTTATTCATGAACTCAAATTGCGGCATATCAATGGCGATTCAGTCAAGCAGATCGCGAGGGCGTCGTGTGTTCAGTAATTTCACGAAGCACGCATTACAAAAAATAATATTAACAATTATGATAACATTGATAGTAAAAAAATAATAACGATAGATATATAAAGTAGTGGTAATCAGACTGAAAACCATCCTCGGAGACCCAGGGGCTGTGAATCGATTTCAAGTCAGGGGCTCTTCGGCTCCGACTTGAAAGCGACTCACAGCTCCTGGATGACTGATTCTAAAGAAACTGTGGTGCTGCGTCGGTGAGAGAGTATAACAGGGTAATTTAGTATTATCAGCTGAGTTAATAACGTAAATTGGCCACGGTAAAAAAATCGGACGACCACGAGGAAGATTTAGGGCAAAAACTAGCCAAAGGTTCTACGTCTTCAATTATTTAATTTATAATTTCTCCGAAATGCACGACAACAGCACATGCACTTGGCGCGTATTGTCTAAAGTCCAGTTCCTACTTTCGAGTTGGAGAATTTTAACATACATTTAATTGCAATAATTACAATAATGATAATAATAAAAGTAAAAATAGTAATAATGATAATAGTTGTAATAATAATACTGATAATGACAATGATAATGATAAAAATAATGAAAAGTTAAAATGTATACCATATTTAAATCGTACGCTTAAAATCGGTCAGCGTGTGATTATATGCAAGTTTTTGAAAAGAAGCTCACCGAACACTCCTGATTAAAAAATCGGAGAAAAAGGGAGGTACTGGTAATGAAAGTAAGAAGTTATGCTATTAAAATAAAAAATTGAAAGAACTATATCACCCTTTATTTGATAGTTGCTGAGGTTACAGTAAAAATTTACGAGAGACTCTTGCTGTCGTGCTCTGCAGCCAGTGATCCAGGAAATGTTAAAAGGATCGATTGGCACCGCTGCTCTACCTATGATTGCAAACATGAGTTGGACAAGTCCCGGATAGCACGTGTTCAAAACATGAGAGTGACAATTCCCGACCCAAACTTTGAAGTTTACGTCAACGGCACCTTAGTTATAAAGAAGGTACTACCTGCGGATGATGGAAAATGGTTTATCTGTATTCCCCAGAAGATGTTTATAGGGAAAGAAAATTCCACGACGATCCTCCATATAGCCAAAGGTGATATTTATATAAGTGATAATAGTAATAATACAATGGGAATTTATATTTTTAGCAGTGTACAATCCATGTGGTGGCTTTTGTTGTCCACGGTTTCAAGGAACAAATGACATTTGGAATGTTGTTTTTCTGGGGGATAGGGATAATTAGAGAACCCTGAGATAAAAATACGGAGCAAGGACGGGAAGCAACAGAAACCCACAGGTGACGTCAGGGATCCAGTTATTGAGGGTCCCGGTAGCCTAACGTGCCCTTAAAATGTTCTGTTTAAAACAAGTTTACAATAAGACTGTCAGCTAAAGAAACAAATTGGACTGGTAAGTGTACCAGCACTTGCTTCTCCGTTCTTTAAATTTTGATCTCAAAATATGGCTTTTGGCCCTTAAAGTTTCCCTACTCCTCGCCTTCGTTTACTAATCTTATCACTTCGGACGCTGTTTTTTTATATCTTTGCTTTTCTTTTCTGTCGCTTAAGGAATGCGAACCTCCCTATAGTAGTTGGATAATTTTGATTTTTTTTTAGAACCCCCACAATTAACACGAGAGAGTCCTCCAGAGCCTCAGGTCATTGAAGGAAACGATCTTCATTTGGATGTTCGAGTGCAAGGGTATCCTTACCCGTGGGTAACTTGGAGACATCGTGACTATCTCCTACAAAATAAATCGAGTGTCGATTCTGAAACAAGGCTTAAGATTCGCAACGTCACTGTATTAGAAGGCGGACGTTACACCTGTTACGCCAAGAATCCATTGGGACACAATAACTTGACATTTGACGTTAATGTTGAAGGTATTGATTAATACCTGCGCCTCGTGTGCCACTTTTTTGTTCTTACCACATTTTGACGTCATCTGTGATCTATTACTGAACAGACGCACGGCAACTTGGAATCTATTTGTTAATTTTTCAATGTCAGTTTAGAGCAAATTTTAACTGAGTGTGTCCAAAATTACATAGGATTGCATTAATTTTTATCAATCCCTTTTTTACCTAAGGACTACCCTGCCATAAAATATAATTTTTAGGCCTCTATAAGATATGAACAGCTAGGCAAAGTATACCAGTGATTCACTTTGTCACTTCGTTTCTACCCTTAGATTTCCAAACCCCGTCATCCTCACAAACATCAGGTAAGTACAATGTGTTCTATTTAAATTTTTCCAATGTCAGTTCTGAAGCAAATTTTAACTGAGTGTGTCCAAAATTACATAGGATTGCATTGATTTTTATCAATCATCTTTTTCACGACCAAAGTCTTTCCTACTGGTATTTGTTTATCATCGAACTTAACTCTAGTATGTCTCAAAGCCGCACTCGATGAATTTCATATGAACTGATTCCCTCTGCTTCTCTCCTCACTTCCCTCCACTTCAATACATGCACCTTCTCATCCATATTCCTACTTACATTCTCTCCCTTTAATAAAAATACAAGTTACAGTCCAACCTGTGTTAAGCGGTCACTCACGCGGAATGGCAGCATGACCGCTTCATACAGGTTGACTGCTATGCAGATTCCACAGAATAGGGGTGTTATGAAAAACGATTAAAATAGTGCCATTTTGTACCACAATTGACCACTTTATGCACAGAAACTACCTCATAAATACAATTGGTTTTATTTGTGTGGTTCCACTTTTAGTGACCGTTCAATACAGGTTGAAGACAATATAATATAGGTTGTATAAAACAAAACCTATGAGGATTTTTTTTCCTGTAGAGCTCGCTGGGCAGCAGGAAGATTATCACCATGTATTTTGAGTCCTAATTAGGAGAATGAAGCTTAATTTAAAGAGAAACTGATTCTGAAAAATATTTGACGCGAAATAAATGAAGAAACGAAGACCTAATTTCAATTAACTTAACTCCAATCCATGCTTTGAATGAAAATTTCAATTTTCCACCCCTAAGGTTTTTTTTATTCTTCAATCATGTATTTATTCATTTGTGTTGTTTTTTAGAGGGTGCAAGATGTTCTGGAGAAAAAATTCTTGTAATTGTGTTCTTATCTCTTGCGGTATTCCAACTACTACTGTTGTTGGGAATCTTTTGCACTCGCAGGAAAAACTGGCGCGGAGCGCTAAAACGGCTGTTAACCAAGCTTTTCTAGAGTTGTATATGTAAAAGATGTGTATAAAAGAACTGTAAATTGTAACGAACTATTTTACTTCTATTTTCCAAATATTTTGAGAAAAGTGTGAAATGCCCGCATTTTTTTTACCCATTTGTAGTTAATAATCTGTTCATTAGCACTCGTCAAGAGATTTTGAAATACTTCTATTCTTTGTCCCCGTCTTACATTATCCATTTTCACTATGGAAAATACAAATAATGCGCGAAGCAGGTGTAAATATGCATGGATAATTGGGCTTAGTGGACTGCAATTTCTATTGATAATGAAACTGAGTGTAGTGCAGTTTGGTCTGAAATCATCCGTGTGATTTCATAAACTCGCAGCGCGAGTTTGATTGAAATCACAAGTATGATTTCATATCAAAATTGTAAGACACGAAGTTTAATTAGCACTTTATTACATATATTTTGAAATAGCAAAATTCAGCAAGGCAATACATGGAATTTTCATTCTGTTCAAATATTTTATTGATCCAGTATATTGAGCAGGTTTATAAAAAGTTGCAAAAGTTGTCTCATTTTCTTGCAATTTGATTGATTTCTTTAAACAAGCCTTGAAATTTGATTGGTCGTCATGTTTTAGTAAAGGCGGCGAAATACGAGATACAAAAACCCTCGACTTCTTGCGCAACATTGTTTCGTTGCAAGTTTTGGTCGATGTTTCCCGTTTTTCACCACGCATGATCAACTTGTCGCGCAACAAAAACATTTGTTGCAGGTTGAGGAATTGAAGCGCGCTGATTGGTTGATTTGCAAATTTGTTTCGTGACAAGTTGTGAGTTTGATGAAAAACGAGCAACAAAGCCGCGCTCTACTTTTCGCAACAAATTTCTTTAACCTGCAACAAATGTTTTTGTTGCGCCACAAGTTGATCATGCATAGTGAAAAACGGGAAACATCGACCAAAACTTGCAACGAAACAATGTTGCGCAAGAAGTCGAGAGTTTTTGTACTATTTCACCGCTTAATTTGAGCGCGAAATAGATGAAATCGGACTGATAGGAGTTGAAAAAGCCATAATAAGGGGTGTTAGGAACCACTAAGAGAATATCAGTTTATCATCTCTTGGAACAAATCAAATTCGAGCAAATTAATGTTGATACAATTACCCGTTACAGTGTTCGATTATCTGGACAGTTGGTTATTTTGTACTCGAAAAAATCCTTGTTGACAAGTTGAGTACGCTACGTTTGAAAATATAGCAAAGGAACATTTAAAGTGGATTGTACCATTTTTAGTGAAGGGATCCCGTGATAACATCAACTAAAGGGAAATAAGTAGAAAAAAGTAGACTGTTGAGTTTTTCTTTTTTTCTTTTTTTTTTTTTTTTTTTTTTGTTTAAACCTTGCACTCAGCGGTCTGTGGGCCAAGGGTCGTCTTTATTTTCGTTCCGTCAAACATCTCACTTACCTGTCAGTCTTTTAATCATAACATCGTTATCTTTCGAAGCATTCATCAGTCATAGATGGTGGAAAGTACGAGCAATGATATGTTAGACGATCGCAAATACTACGACATTCAAGGGTACCACTCCTGATCAACCTATAAATATCGCGTCTGTCCGTGAAAATTAAAAGCAACTTAGGGCGGGAGGGGATAAAAACCCCGGAGGAACTGAAGAACAATTCTGTCAACTGTTTTGCTCTCGAGTTCGACCTCATTTCAAGGACAGGAAATGGGTCTAATTAGGGATCGAGGCTCAAGATTTAAAAATATCGCTGTTCACAGTAGCTGAGAGTAAGCCACCGACAAATTTTTTCGTATACCGACTGTTTGGTTGTTTTTTTTTGGTTTTTTTACCAATTCTTTCGACAAACTTCGTTCCTTCTCCTTTGCAGTGGTCCACTAGGCTAGTCACGCAACGAGCTCATCGATTCGTGACAAGCGAAAAAGACGGCTACGAAAGAAATTAGCAAATCAAAACAGAGCTCCTGAGTTTATAATTTTGAACATCAATTACCATAACATTGTTACCTTGATATACCACTTAACTTCTCTTCTACGCTTTTCTCGGCACATGGATCGCTTTCCTATTGTCAAGTAAGCTGAGATTTCAAGAAAAAGACGGTGCGTGCTCTGTTGGTATTCATTTGTTTCTTGGAAAACAGATACGGCCGATTACGTCGAAACTGATATAGGTGAATGTCATTATTTTAAGGAAAGATCGTCACTTCACGAAGTTTAGGAGCATCAAGAATGAAGATTATCGGGTTTTACATCACATTCTTTATATGTTTCGTGCCAGCTCTAGTAACAGGTTAGTTACCTTAATCAAGCCTCGCACGCTTTTTAGGGGTATTACGGGGAATCACATCGTGTGAAATTGCTAGTTTAGTGAAAGGCGGAAGCGACGGCGACACTTATAGTTTAGATTTAGCTTTGGTGATACGTGAATTTTAGAAGCAATATTTCCTATGCTCTTCATGTTCAACTATGAATATAAATAGAGAATATTATAGGTGCGTGTTGATGTGGAATTTATCATCGAGTCTTCATCTCGATAGCTCACGAGTGAGCGTAGCGGACGAGTTGAACACGACCAAATCTTAAAAAAATTGGCCACTAGAATGTTTCATCATAACCTCATCAAGATATATAGTGAATTAAAAAGATTTGCAAAGATAAATCCGCTGCAAACTTCCTCGTTAAGTCTGTTTCCAAAACGCAGCTCAAGCGTCTCGATCGACAATTAGACGCCATCTTGAATATAGGCTTGAAGATTGTATATGATCCATCCTAGTGTCCACTTTGTAACATGTCAAAGATCTTTTCCTCAGGCTGAAGGTCATAAATAAGTTTGTAATTGGCCAAGTAATCACTGTGCCTAAAAGACTTCAAGTAATCATAATTAACATTTGTTTAAAAATGCATAAATTCAGTCCAATTTTTATGCTTAAATTCCAAATTGTCTAGAACCAGCTACCAGTATATAATTCAGGAGATATTCATTGACCTGCACATTAGACTAGCAATGAATTCCATGTTCAGCTTGTGTTTAGCAAAAATTTCTCATGGAATCACAGTTTATTTTCCCACTACATTTTCTTCAATAATTCACAACTCTGTATAGAGTAATTGTCCATCGTATTTCATTAATGTATATGTAGAGTCAGTTGAATTCAAATTGTAACATGGCATTTGCAACTGAAGATGACACACGCAATGTCAAAACATGTTTTTCAAACTTACCAACAGGGTTCTTGCACATGTTTTCAACTTAATTTTTGATGCTGCATAAAGATAACTGTTTTAGAGCTCTAATTAGTGTGATAGTGCTACTGTAAATCTTGTTAGCATGCTTCTGTTTTGTAACTTTCATGACTAAACATGTCAGTATACATTAAGGCCCACTAGTTTCTTCTGAGAACCCTAAACTAGTTTAAAAATCAATAACAGCCACAGCTTCTTTAAGCCAAAAGTCACAACAATCTGAGATCTTCATCGAGAGAAGTAAGGATGCTCATCATAATTCCCAATATTATTATCATTATTCTTGTCATTAACATATAACTTATCATTTTCAGTATCCTTGCCAATGTTTTTGGCAAGCATTGCTAGTCAGATAGCTAAAATTGCAATGGAGTTTCAAAATTATAGTACAAGTGCCTTGGTGATTTTATAAATTATGAAACATTAAACTTAGAGTGAAAAATCTGACTGATAATTTGCATTTACCATGCCAAGGTCAAAGTCTACCTAGTTTTCAAGATCTTTGTCTGTGTAGTGTTCTCGTTTCTTTTGCAAACTCAGAGGGAAGTGTCCAATTCAGTTTTTTTTAGGCAATTGATATTATGAATTTTTAGGCCTGCTGTATGTTGTTTGCTTAAGCCTTTGGCTTTGAAAAAAAACCTAGAGCTCAGTTTTGATAATTCACGATCATCCAATAATTGCTCAATGGTTTAGTTTTTTTGCTGATCCATCTCTACTCTTTGGAAAAAGTGTTATTTTACAACTAATCCCTGGCATAATGTTTCATCTTGAGTCTTAGCGCCAACGCACCTTATAATTTTTGTTCAGGGATTGTCGATCCTTTTATTTTTATTCATATCAAAGTTGACATTTCTTGTCAGTAAAGAGCTGTTGTTTTTATATGTTGAATAAAATAGTACTTGGTGGCTTGTAGATATGAAATTTATGTTCTCACATCCAACTAGACATCTCACTCATGAGCTATCGCGTTAAGCACTTGAAGAGAACTTATATGTCTACACGCACCATTGTATTAGTCTCTACTTAAAACTATTTAAGTGAAACTATTTTCTCATTATGACACAGCTCCAGACATATTCATATGGGAATTTACCAGAGAGTATTGCTACAGTGTTTACTGAGGCAGCCAGAATATGGGATGCTTATTGGATGGTTTTCCTGCCCAACTCACGATTGCAATAATGAGTGGGACAAACATTGGATAGCTGGCATACATTTTATGGAGAAGGTAACTCTTGAAAATACACACTTCAATGCCTTTCTCAACGGGCCTTTACTTATCAAGAAATTTCTCCCCATGTATGATGGAAGATACTTCATCATGCGAGTGAGGACAGATACAGGAGCCAAGACAAGTATTTACCATCGTAAAGTAGTACAAGGTAATGTTTACCTCTTAAATATTCTGTTTTATGTGCTGTCTCTATGCGTCCTTCTGTCTATTTTCTGTTTCAATGTAAAGGGAATTGGAGTCCTGACTTCTTTACCAATATTCATCATTTTTGCCCTTACCCGTTTCTAGAGCACCCACTTCTGACGCTGGTCAGTCAGCAAAATATCTATGCCTTTGAAGGGATGGATGTTTTTCTTTGAAGCTCAGGTGAAGGCCTACTCCTATCCATGGGTTTCTCTGAGTCATGTCTTGGAGTCACACGAAAGAGTAATACAGGAGACATCAAACGTCAGTTCTTAAAAACTTATGAAGATTCCAAGCATCACTAAGGCCAGCAGTGGTGACTATGTCCTATACGCTGAGAATACTGTGGGAAATGATACTCTCACTGTGAGGTTTTATGCGGAGGGTAAGTTCGTTCTACTCACTTGTACTCACTAATGCTGGATTCCTGGGTATAAATTTTCACATAAGCAAAGAAATGCCACTTAAATTCATGGAAAAGCCAGCTCTGATTACTAGATGCCACCAGAAGACCTTAATTTTCTTTAAAAAAAACAAAAATTTGTGGAACACTGCACCAATAGTTTTTGGGGTGTGGCTCACTTAACATTACGGCTCATACACAAGTTTTTACGGTCCTTTATTTATTTGCATTGGAGCCCTCTTCTTTTCAGTTAAGAAAATTATTTACCTATTGTTTAAGGATTGTAACACATTGAAAACCATGGCTGAGGTATCTATTGTGTTTTTTCCTGCATTTAGGCATGCCAGGCCGTTCATCTTCACCACCACCAGGTAAACACTGCAATCCGTACTTTCTCTCCCTGCTATTTCCTCCTCTTCTTTCTTTCCTCTTCCTTGTGCATCGTTATTAAAGTAACTTCTTACTCTCATCTATGCTCGTATTTAATCGAGATATATAGGTTTTTATAATGATAAAATCTTATGTTTTATCTCCCATTAAGGTGACATCCCAACCTCAGAGGCTCCTAAACCTCCAGACTCTACTCCCTCAAGTATGTATGCCGTTTTTTTTGTTTGTTTGTTTGTTTGTTTCTTTTTTCCCCGAGGAAAACAATACATATCAACACACATGTAAACGAGTTTCCTCTATAGCTGAATGACTGACCTCATTTATCTCTTCTGCTCCACCTGTTGCTTTTGTTGTTATTGTTAACCGTCGTATCGATTTTTCCAAATGATGAATGTGTTACTTTTAACCCATTGCAAAGATTTGTGATCTAAGCTTAGTTTTCAGAGTTTGATATATCTCACGTTTTATCCGAGTTATGCATTAGGGGAAGACGCTTGAATGCAAGAGATTTCTAAACTTAAAAATGCTTTCCTGATTGAAGCTTTAAAGAGATTGTAGAATATGAGGTTT